GTGTATCCTGTGAGGCCTAGGTTGCTCTGGATACTATGGTGTACATATAAATTGGACAGAGCCACTGCAAAGAGCTTCGTTTTGTTGTCTGTCTTCCACTGGGCCCATTTCCTGTTCTAGTTTCCCTCGTCTCTCGTCCTTAGTTTTAGTTAGAATTACAAATTCATAACTTTGACTCCTTCTAACTTCAGATTTTACTCAAGTTACTCAGTAACCCTCCCAACACTACCATTGGCACCCTCAAGTTTAACATCCATCCATCAAGGTGCTATGTTTTCGCCCAATTTCGAGGGTCTCTCTCTTGATTGAGACGCACGGACCACACATAGAGTGCACATGCAACATTCCTTGCACTGAAGACATGTAACTGTAGTTGGATAGCTTTACCACAGTACCAACTGGCCTAAAATGGCACTCTATTAGATCTGTGTATTTAAAAGCTATCTTACTATATATAGTAGACTTGTGAGCTCACACAGAGCGTCACATTACTGCATTGAGGGCATCCCCAACAGCCTCCAAGAGGCTGAATGTCTTACATTCAATATTGTGCACACTATTTTTAGATCCAAGCGTGATCCACGCCTTAGCAAATTTGTCTAACTTATTGAGGTTTTTATTGATGACAAATCATCCTTGGGTGAGATTAGTGTTGTTAGATCTTTTACACTTTGCAGATCCTCAAATGGTGCTGTGATCTGATGTATAGTTAATATTGCATGAAACTGCTGCCGTGGCCAATGTATTGCTCCACACCAAGTCGAGTACATACCGTTCCTGATGTGTGGGAACCCCTACTGTGGTGACTAAATACATGTCCTAGTCTGAAGCCAATTTCATGATCTAATAATGTATGCATTTTGGCATAAGACCTCTAGTTGCCAGTATCTTGACATGGTGTTGAAGTCGCCCCCGAATGCTGTAGGGCTACGTGGTCTCCACTGAAGTAAAGGTGTTTGGATTAGGTCCTGGTCAACAATGTCTAGCCTAATTGTGCTATGTTGCAGGCTACTGTTCCAATTATTCATGGGGTCATTATCAGGGTTGTGAGAAGTTTCAGTTTGGTGTGGGTTGTTCAATTGCTACCTGAGCGTGTTGCATAGAAGTCAGATATTGTTATAATAACGAGGTCATGAGGGGACAGAGGAATACCTGAAATGGATGCAGATGATTATGGATGTGCGGATATAATTGATGTGGCTGTAGTGAGAAGATGCGTTGGAATGGACAGTAGTGAGACGGTTAATTTACAATCTATCTGCAGAAGTATTGCTTCCTTATATATACATTCAGTATGTGACAACCAGAAGGGAGCACAGGTTAGCAGATGAACAAGTCGAATCAGGCAAGGACTCAGATCTGGAATATAATTCATAAGATTCTAAACTAAGGGAAGAAAGTAACAAGAGGTATCTAGAGATATACATATATACATAATTTACAATTGGTCCGTGCGTATGTAGGATCATAACACAATACTTGGAAGGAACAATAGTATTAGAGGCCCCGAGGGTCAGGAATACAAGGCCGTAACACAGTACCCCAGTCCTGATCATGCACTCACCACAGGTGCTTCCTACTTCTGTCACAGTAACCACTTCCATAGCCCCTACCAATATCTCCTGTCATAACATACTATTGACACTGGTTGCTAGTGTGGAACTCCCGGGATTGCAGAGCTATACACCGTCGTCACATTATATGCTGTTTCCCCTTGGTAGCCATCAGAGTGATGTGCACCTCAGTCTAAACGCATTGGTCCACCAGGCAACGCTTGGATGTAGGGATGTTGCCAGAGTGATTAGGTACTTAGCTGTGCTATCAGTGCCCTAATGTCATCTAGCTTACTGCGGCCAAGTGTCCGAGTGCCGCAATGGTGGGAGCCCGATGAGGCCCGATTGGAGCTGACCCGAGGTATTCACAACAGATATGCAACTCGAGTAGCATATGCACGGTAAACCTCAACCCCAAAATGATGATACAAACCAGGTTTTACATGCTACGTCCTTTTTTTTTTTAAAAATCATTTGATGTGTATTCAGCTATCTAGCTATGACACATGACTGATGCTATGTATACATGTAGGATGACTCTTTTGACGTTAGAGACACTCATACTCTGGATTTCAATTGCAAATACCACTATGAGTTATGATTGCTTACACAAAAAGTCGACCCTCCTCTGTAAGTACCCACCAAAGGGAATTTCAAAACCTTTGGCTATCCAAGCATGCCTTTGTCATCCATGCATACCAGCGCCGCAAGAAATGTGGTTGTGTTTTGCCGGATTCGAACCAGCGATCTGCTGTCTCAAGTGGGATATGTGTCCAAGCTATCCAGACTTTACTTGGCAGACCAACCAAGACGATGTACCACCGCACCATCCAACCATGGCAGTTTTTATAGTGTCGCCTGCAATCTTGCAACCGAAGACTTGGCACGCACAAAGCTCAATTTGTAAAAACTCAGTGCCAAAATTCAAAATTCCACGCTTGTCGAGACTGAATCCATCCTTCGCATCATTTTGTTAACTTAACCTGAATCCTCTCACGCAATTCCCAAAGAACTGTCTCCCAGATTTGTGCGCTACGCTTTGTGTCCTCCGTCGGGTATAAATATCGGCGTGGACGTGTATTTGGGGACCAGCTGAGGCCAGAGAAAGTCGACGAGAGGTGTGATCATTGGAATAAGGATGTACTAGGTCGTACTTGTAGACTTGATGAGGCTTAGGTAGGATTCGATTTTTTTTGGAATGAAAATTTGATGTGATGGAGTTATTTGAATCATTGCCTCGTGGGCCAACTTGTTCGGTATTGCGAAATTTGACTGAACTTGGCTCTGGGAGAATATTTCACTCCCAGGTTTGTAGAGGACACCGCGTACAAGTGTTCAGTCTTGCCCTCCCATGCTATGTCCTGTATGGCAAGCGTGGTTTGAATATGGGGAATTTACCTGTAGATAGACAAAGACGTTGTAGCCCTCTGATAGTTGGGACAAGTCTTCAACCAATATTATATCGGAATCAAATCTAGCCTTTTATTAAGCAATCTCATGAGTTATTTCCAATGTCTGTGATAACAGAATAAATATACAAAGTCGACAACACCTTCAAAGTCGATAAAAAGGCTCCAAGGGTCCAATAGACCCAGGAGCGCGGTAGATATTTGCAAATGTCGTTCCAACTACTTGTACAAAGCAATAGTCTGAGGTAGGCCTATGGACCGTAAATATTTGCGTAACAATGACACTTTTCCTGGTAAAAATAATGGCTCGATGACGGTGTCCCGTTTCTCCCGCTGGTTTGTGATAGTCAAATCCAAGATGAACTTTGTAACGAATTTTCCATCCTTCCGCATTCTCCACGGTTCTCGTATCATGAAAACGTGTGCTCCAGCTCCCCACGCCTGTTGCGACGCCATTTCCATGTTCTGTCCGCCCTTTCCCACATTTTTTTTGCATCTGATTTTAATCGCGTATGCAGCTATCTAGCTATAACACAATATCAAAGAAAAGTACATAATAGATGACTCAATGTAAAAGAAGAGCACCCATGCCTCGGATTTCATTTTCAAGTACCACTGCGAAGTTATGGCGGCTGTCTCTTCACTCCAAGTCAGCAATCATTCGTGATTACCCACCAAGAGAAACGTCTCAAAAACTCTGGGTTATCTAGACATACTTCCGTCATCCATTATCTTTTCTCCGCACCAAATGTGGTATAGGCCTCTCCTTTCCAAGTGGAGTAGGTGCCCAGGCTACTCAAAGTATACCAGAGAATACCACTAGGACTCAGGCCATGGCACCTTCCACCGTTGACTTGTGTTTATAGTATCAGCTTCACTCTCGCAGGCGAAGCCTTGGCGCACACAAAGCTCAATTCGTATAACTCCTTGCCAAAATTCCAGATTCACGCCCTTCCAGCTTATATCTTTCCTTAGCATTATCCCATGAACCTATCCTGATCCCTCTCACGTCCATCCCAAAGAACCGTCTCTCAAATTTGTGCGCCACGCTTTGCTTCTTCCGACGGATACAAATATCGGTATGGGCACGTATTTGCTGATCAGCTGTAGTTAGAGAAAGTCGACGAGAGGTGTGGTCATTGGAATGAGGGTGTAGTAAGTCGTACTTACAAACTTGATGAGGTTTTAGTGGGGCTCTATCTCGTTGGGAGTGAAAGTTTGATACGGCTGGGTATTTTGAGTAATTGCCTCGTGGGCCAATTTCTTTGGTATTGCGAGATTTTACTAAACTTTACTATGGGATAATATTTACCTTCCAGCTCAGTAGAGAACATGCCGTGCAGGTGTACAGTCTTACCCTACCCTCTCAAGTACCGCGGGATCGTCATTGTCAGAGGTTAAATTTTATACATCTTTATTCCATTTTTCACTCCCGAAATTTCTTTGATTCAAAATCCGACCAAAATTAAACAACGTAACTGTTTCATATCGATAGTTTATGAGAAAATTTTTCCAAATCTTCTTCTGGGGAAAGTCCGAATCTTTGCTCATGTACAATAATTGAATCCCAAATTTGTAGAGGGCATCGGGGATCGGTGTTGAATCGTCAACCTCTGAGATCATGTCAAGCAGTATTTTTGTGAAAAAGCAAGTTATCACATATACATGAATACAAGGTGTGGCCAAGATCAGAGAGGAGCCCAATGTGCTAGATAGTCATAGGCTCAAGTAGCACAATAAACACACATACACATATACATATACATAAAGCATTGGTCGTTTGTCATAGCTGTATTACTGAATACACTTTAATGAAAAAGAGCTAATATTTTCTTGGGGCACAAGGCTACAGCCTATGAAGGACCTCATGTAAGGCTGCACATGACTGGGTTAAATGTCTAACTAGAGAAAACAATTTTTTGTCGACCTGGGTCAAACCGATATTTCGTGTAAAAGTCTTCACACACAGCAATTCTATGTATTACTTCAAATTTTAATCAGTTTATCTATCCTCTCAATATTCGGATAAGGATCGAACATGGGAAAGTCAAAGTCGCAAAAGCGAAACCACTCAACGACATCTTCACCATATTCTAAACCCGAAAAAGCTGCTGCCAATCATGTCTTCAAATTCAACACCAATGTCGGTCAACATATTCTTAAGAATCCCGGCGTCGCTGAGGCGATCGTGGCTAAAGCATTCCTCAAGCCATCTGATACGGTACTAGAAGTTGGCCCCGGCACTGGTAATCTTACAGTGCGCATTCTGCAACAGGCTCAGAAAGTGATTGCTGTGGAACTAGATCCACGTATGGCGGCCGAGGTTACAAAGCGTGTACAGGGTAAACCTGAACAACAGCGTCTAGAAGTCATCTTAGGTGATGTGATAAAGATGGAAACGTTACCACGCTTTGATGTCTGCATTAGCAACACACCCTATCAGGTTTATCCGTCACGCTCAATAACTCAGGGGCTTAGAGCTGATTTTTTTAGATTTCAAGCCCTCTTGTCTTCAAGCTGCTCGCCCTACCAAATCCCCCGCGAACTTCCGTACTTATGTTTCAACGCGAATTTGCCCTCCGACTAACGGCACGCCCAGGTGATTCCCTTTATTGTCGATTGTCTGTCAATGCACAGTTCTGGGCAAAGATAACTCATGTGATGAAAGTGGGAAAAAACAACTTCAAGCCACCACCACAGGTGGAAAGCAGTGTGGTTCGGATTGAACCAAAGTTGGGAAGCGAGCGGCCAGGTGTCAGCTGGGAGGAGTGGGATGGAATGTTGAGAATCTGTTTTGTCCGAAAGAACAGAAGCATGCGTGCCAGCTGGCTAGGAACTAAGGAAGTCTTAGCAATGCTCGAAAGAAATTATCGAGTTTGGTGTGCTATGAATGATGTAGCCCTCGATGATACAATTATTGAGGGAGAAGACATGACGATGGAAACTGATGGACCAGAAGAAGAATGGGATGGAATTATGGATATCGATGACGCTGTGGATGAGCTGCCCAGCTTCTTTGCAGAAGAATCGTCTCGAATTGCAAAAAAAAAAGGAGAGAAGACAAAGAGTAAAAAGAAGAGAACGCGAGTATATGAACTCGTCCGTGAGAAGATTCGAAAAGTTCTTGAGGATGTGACCGAACTAGCCGATCAACGCGCAGGAAAATGTGACGAAAATGACTTTCTTAGGCTGCTGTGTGCATTTAATGATGAGGGAATCCACTTTTCATGAAAAACACACTCCCAAGAATCTTATCACGGTGAACAGATGGCCGTCAAATAACAGATTTTCTAGCGCGAAGTCCAACGACGTTTGAAACCCCAATTTTTGAATAACCTTCATGCGGAGAAGCTCAAAGGCATCAATTCTAGATGATTGTATTGCCAGACAACAATGTTCCTTGCGTCTTTCTAAAAGCTACTCTATTTTTCACTACGGAAATTTGACCTACATCCTAGGTTTATCTTACAAGGCTGGGCTTAACTACACTTTCAACATCTTGCGAACCATTTCTTAGGAAGCGAAGAATACTCTGCACCCTATCCTCAGATATGAGGCTTTAATACCTCTCGTATCTCCGCTCCGCTCGAATAGCTCGAATACGGCTTTAGCGAAGGATACAAATATGAGAGATATAGAGTGCAATTATTATCATCACGAATCTGGAATTGAGGTTGGATATATCGGGACCTTCTAGTACTTCAAAGTAGGCGGAATACCAGCTTCTATCATCGATTAAGGCAATTTTTAAGCATCATCGAGAGAACGATTGTATTAGAGGATCCATGTATGCAACCATGGAATCTCTTGGATACTTATTCTAGTCCTTTGAATCAGCAAAAAATTACTTGCTGATCAGTTTAAGCAATTCCTCGCCTACAATGTTTTTGGCACGCACGATCACATTTATGACAATCCTCATCAGAACTTTCCAATTTTCTGGAAAACAAAACTTAAAGTGATGACCTGAACAGTACGCCTGATCGATATGTCTGTTTTTGTCTCCTCCCATTGACCCGGGACATGATAACTACTTTTGGACGAAAGCACGGCCAGCAATGCGAAATAAAATTCAGGCTCACCATCTCACTCCGCCACTTAGTTATGTAGTTTAATTTGTGGCGGACTACCAAAAGTATTCCGCTTCACTCTCATTTTTAATTATGCGTGTGAAAAGAAGTTCCTTTCCCAACTCTGTGGTACATAAATGAAGGACATTCTAGAGGCCACTCCATGCAATGATTTTTGTTCGTCCTTAATAACTCATTGGTTTATCTACATTGCTCTAACCTTCCATGAGCCACCTATTTCGTTCTGGGAAAATATAGAATCATTTGGCGATCTTAACTTGCCTGAATCACCACTTTGAAGCTCAAAGCCATGTCATGGCATTGTGACTTAACAGGGATCTAATCAGATTTGTATCTGGAAGAAGTCAGGCATTGACTTTATAGAATTCCTCAAGGGGACTAGCAGCGACGGTATAAACCATTACCGTCAGATGAAGTAATTTCTAAAAGTCGGCAAATATTTTTTACAAGATTTGTGAATCCTTTCAGATAGCATTTGAAATGGGGGCAATTAGATAGTAGAGATGCTAAAAGACATCTGTTTAATCATTACAAAGTTACAGATGGGTTTTTCGATCCAACCCTTCTCGTTAGATTTTAATCCGGGTAGAATATTCTAAATGCAAAATATAGTAGGCCCAAACCATATATCGATTCGTACATGTAACGGTGACACTTCCCATTCAGCACGAAGGAAAGTCTCTGAAATATTTTAAAGGACCGGAGAGACGTGCTAGTGCAGCTTTTGCGCCCATAGCCGTCAGGTTAAGTAGTTGGGAGGTCATTTCCACTCGATTCTTAGTTTTTTAAATAATTTAATGTGCACTCAAATCTAGAAACACCAAAAGATATCAGTGTCTTGTGTATATGTTGGATAACTCGTATGGCTTCATAGATACTCACATTCTGGATAACATTCCCGAATACCACTGTGAGGTATGAGAACGAAGACCCAACGCCTATCATTGTTGTCGTCTACAAAACTTCAGCTCTCACTGTAAAGTCTGCAGAGCCGAGATTAAGAATCAAACCTGCTCTCACCTGGATAAAGATTCCCAATCGTTTGGCGGTCTATATCGTCTTCATCTCTCAGAACAACTCCCGGGCACCAATGTGATTAAGTTAACCATGTTCAGATCATATGATAAGGTCGAAAACCTACTCATCAACCACTTACCTTTCTTGGTCATTGAAAAGCCATCCGATGAGTTCTCGGAGCGTACCCAGCTCACGATACGGGAGTTGCGGATTGGATCATGTTGGTCCCTTTTTTACGAAGAGAGATAGAGATGGATATGTGCACCTCGTAAGGTTGGGGAAACGGGTTTTTTGAGACTTTTATCCCGCGCACGCAGTTTCCATTACGACCGTTTTTTGGGATGGAAGTTCCGTGGAAAATCAGACTGAGTTCTTCACTTAATTACTAAGCTGATTGGCTATTCATCATGGGCAACATGTCAATGGTCTTTGAAATAATAAAAGAGGCAGGGGCGCTTTACAAGGTATGGCCTGGGTCAGAGAGGAGCATAATGTGCCAGATGGTTTTTGAATGGAGTAGCACAACTAAAACCAACCTGAATATCAAAGATGCATAGTCGAAGACAACATGATTTGAGGAAAATCAAATTGAAAACCAACCACTGTTGGGCATGCTTGCTTAAGTAGAAGAGCCAGCCCTCCTCTGAGAGTACCCACCGGTAGGAATTCGAAACTTTTGGCTATCCAAGCATGCCTTAATCATTCATGCATACGAGTACCGCAAGAGATGTGACTCAGTCTTGCTGGATTCGAGCCAGTAATCTTCTATCTCAAGAGGGATAGATTTCCAAGCTATCTAGAAACTACTTTCGAGACCAACTCGGATGACGTACTACCGCACTATCCAGCCAAGGTGGTGTTTATGGTGCCGCCTGCACTTTCGCAACCGAAGTCTTGGCGCACTCGCAAAGCTCAGCTCGTAAAATTAATTGTACGAATTCCAAATTTCACGCCCATCGGGATTGTAGCTATCCACTGAATCATCTTGCAAACTTGTCCTGTTCCTCTCGCGGTCATTCAAAATAAATGTCTCCCGGAATTGTGCAGCACGCTTTGTTTCCTCCGTCGGGTAATAATATCGGCGTGGGCTTGTATTTGATGGTCAACTAAGGCCTGAGAAAGTCAAGAAAAGGTGTGGTAATTGAAAGGAGGATGTTCTAAGTTGTACCTGCAAGCTTGATGAGGTTTTGATGGGGATCGATCTCGTTGGGTGGGAGGGTTTGATTTCGTAGAGAGTGTTGGATCATTGCCTCAAGGGCCAGCTTGTTTGGTATTGCGAAATTTGACTGAACTTGGCTCTGGGGGAAAATTTCACCCTCAGGTTCGTAAAGGACACCGCGCACAGGTGTTCAGTCATTGCCATCCCCTGCGGATCGCCATATCGGTTTAGGCGTATATTTTCAGGCCACTTAAGGCTGGAAAATGAGTTGCCATGACTTGTGGTCATTGTATAATGGCTTCCTGGGCCGTACTCGCAGACTCGAACCTTTGGTGGTAATAGATCTCGTCACGGGTGAAAATTTTAATGAAGTGGGATCCCTTAAGGTGTTGCTTCGTGGGTCGATATCTTCGGTATTGCAAATTCTGGGGGAACATGGCTCTGAGATGATATTTTACTCCCAGGTTTGTAGGACACCGCGAACAGGTGTTCAAATGTTGCCCTCCGCACGTGACTCGGACAAAGCCTCGGACCCGCAGGGGTGCGCCAACAGCTTAGCGCAGCTGCTCCCCAGCACAGAACATAAGCCTTGAGTAGTCTGTTCCTGGCGTCTAGACACCGACGGGCTACGTCTCTCTGTTGAACTAAATGCGTTGGTCGTGCCATTCCCACAGAAAAAGTATGGCTACTGACTTCATGAGGGTTAGTGGTAAAATTCCAAATAAACTGTAGTCCTTTTTTCCCGGAGTCGGCTTAGCGTGATAACTAGTCCTACACGAGGATTTATTGGTATCCCAGCGGCCCGAGCACCATCGAAGTTACATTTGAGCAAAGAGGCAACCCTTTCTTCCTTTGCGCTGAATCATCTATTCTGTAATTTTCTTTGATATTGTGTCATAGCTAGATAGCTGCATACGCAATTAGAATCTGATGCAAAAAAAAAAAAAAAAAAAAAAAAAAAAAAAAAGAGGCAACCCATGCTACCCACGTCTTCTCCCAGTAACGGCCGTACAATCCGATGCACACGCGCCACGCAGAATTTCCCCCTATGCACATGATCTCCATGGCATATTTTAAGGAAGCCTTCAAGTCACACTCTTGATTTGTTTTGGTTAAGGCAACGGGAAGATAAAGCTGAGTGAACAGGTTTGTTTGCCACTCAGTCTCAGAAACATTTGCATAAATGTGCAATAAAAACTAGATAAAGTAATCAGGAAAAGTTATCATGTCTATTAAAATGAGGTAAATTTTATGATGGAAATAATAATGCTCTTCAACGGCAATATACCATTATTACTACTTTAATGTATTTAATTTATTTAAACAGGATTGTAACACATTGATTTAGATCATATATTGACCAGAAAGCCCTAAATTCTTAACCCACTCAACTTCCAGACGGAGACAGCTCGATGTTGACAAAGGTGATTAATTGAATGTCGGCGTTTATTCGGCATGAGCCAGTTGTACTAATTAGGTAATTGATCCACATTATGATATATTTGGTTAGACCTCATTTTTCGACCCTAACATCTCCCCCCAAGTCTTTTACCCCTCATTGGCAACAGAGCAGAAGTGCTTTCGCCCCATAATTTGACGCCAGCTACCTTCAAGCAATTCTACTTGGCGCTGTCTGTTACTTCCCACTTTTCCAGCCTCTCTTGGTGCTAGGAGGCCCAGATACGATATCGGCCACTCTTGAGGAGAGGTCTATGGAGAATTTTGTGTGTGGAGCGTTATTCCACTTTATCACCCACTCAATATTAATTTCCTTATCTTGGGATAATTTTCTTCAATGGCTGAAAGGTGTTTTGATTTCCGAGTTTTCGGTGACGAGACGTATTATCATACTCGAAGGTTTGAGGAGGCAGCAGTTTAGGAAACAGTAGTGCGAGCCTTCCAATCAAGTTGATAGTGGCGACCGGTCGATTTTGTTGAAGGAATTTCGCGACTAAATTCATACTCGATATGAGCAGAGTGGACAATGACCAGGTACCACTATGTAACGCTCGTGAGGACCTCTGGCACAACGTTTTTCTTTCTTTCCGTCGACAGAAGTGCTAAAAAAATGAGATCCTGGATCCGTACATGAAGTGTAGACATAAAAGTTTTTGGTATATTCACACATTGTGGGGTCTGTAGAAGCAATTAGTGAGTTATTTTATTGGTAATAAAAGCATCGAGGTGGTTGCATACAGTCAAGGTTATAAGGGTCCAAGGTGGAAGTCGAAAGGTAAAGTAACTCCTAAGAACAAGGAATAGGAATATTAATATGAGGAGGCGGAATTATTGAGGAGCTTGGTGCAGGCTTTTTGGTAATGAAGATAATTCTGACTTAAGAATGGTAGGTCGAATTCGAACTACTTATCAAAGAATCTAGAGGAAATGTAATCTTTATCTCAGGATTCAGATTCCGAGCTATGACCGCTCACATAGGGTAGCTGAGTGTAGCAGAATGTTCCTTTATCCCACTTCGACACAAGGAGTAGAGGCTAAAACTCTATGTTAAGAACGTGGTCACCCGTTAGGGTATAATCCGCTGTACGGATGGGCCCGTTGATATCCCTAGGCGGCCCCAGAAGTTGAATTTTTGTGCCATTTTCATCTTTATTCCTTGTCCCTGCACCTGTTTCTGTTGCCTGTTCTAGTGACCGTGCCAGTGCTCTCTGCCCTGCATGGGCCGTAATATGCCTTTCTCACACTAGCGCCATCATCGGACATCGAAGATTGCGCGGCTACTGAATTTTAAGGATCTTAGGGTTCGGAGTTAATCGGGATAAATCTGAGTCGTGACTTGCGAGCGAGGTCGCATGAAGTCTGTGGGCTCGCCAGTTCTTCCGGACAGGGAGAGCGTAACGTGCGGTGTCTTGGATGAAGATGAATTAAAGAGCAAAATGAATTGACGATGGATGGCAAGTGGAGTCTTTCAAAATTATGGAGTAGTGGGTTGATTAACCGATGCGAAGCTGGGGACAGCAGAGAGGGGGATATTGGATTAGTCATCGTATCGGGACGATGGACTCCGACCACCAGATCAGCGAGTTAATTACGGGCCGGCAGGTACTCCTCACGGCAGAGTCAATATTGCGAGTGAAAGCAATTTTTGTTTGGGATACACTAAATTGAGCCCGACTCCCAATGCTCTGTCCTGGCCCAGTCGACAAAGTTTGGTCTCGCTGATGTGCCGAGTTTCACGGACTAAGGGTTTCTCGTCGCAATCAACGTGCACTCTCGTTCCGTGCATTTTTTCCGGGAGCGAATAAACAATCTATCCTATATTTACATTTCAATTGAATAATCGAAGCAATCAAATCCTGTAATCTAAAAGTATCTTTTGTTCGGGGGTCCAGAGAGTGGATATAGACCCTGCATGTACAGTGTCTTGAAAGTACCTATTTCCCATTATCGCCTTCATCCACAATCCCTCCCTCAAAGAAGAAAAGTATATCTCCTGCCGGCAAGCTCTGTTGGCACGCTTTACCTCCGGCAATATTCGGGAGGCCCCCAAGTCGGCAACAGATACCCTAGTGAGTCGTGTCTCAGGTGTTCGTTTAAGTCATTTTAGTCGCGTACGCGGCCCTCTTTACGAACCAAGTCCTACCATGTCTGGCAACTCCCTGCATCCGCTCTTCGTGGAGATCCCCTTGTACACATTTCTGCTCACATGATAAGTCGAAGACGCAGGACTGTTAGAAGCAAATAAAATTTGGCGTAACGTCGTATTCCACAAATGTATTTTGAGTGGCAGAGAAACTTCCGGCGTATCCTTGATCTTTCATTAAAAGAGGTGCAGGTTCAAAATCAAATGTAACAAGGGATCAAGAAGCAATTCGGAGACGTCGCGCGTATAGGCTACTTTGATAGAGCGTACCGAAAGTAATCTCGGTATCATAAGCGAGATCTAGGTAGGACAAATGATAGCTTAATGCCTACGAACCAACAAATTTCGAAATAATCGGCTAGCTACTAAAGCTGTAATGTCAAGAGACTTCTTTCCTAACCTGAATATGAAGAGATTGGATGGCGAAAAGCTACTGAAGGAACGCAGAGATTCAAGGTTCAAGGAGTCGAAAGTGCATGCGAATCCATGATATGAGAGCACTTCTATCGCGGCCAAATGTAGAAAGTGGCGAAATAGATACAGAACCATGGCTGACCTCATTACAAGCCCGGCTTAAAATTCAGGTCTACTGCTACTATTCTAGAACAAACGGCTGGCCACCTGTGAAAAGTTCAGGGATTACTCAATTTTCTTAGACCCCTTGGCTCCTCACACTATCGATTTCCTCTACATATTAAATCACACATCCCACCCCCTGTCCACGAAGGGTCTCTGAAACAGACATGCAAATGCTAGTAGCGAAGCTGAGTAAGTCGTTTCCTTCGACCCTGACGATACTAAAAGTTATCAGAAGTGCCAAGTGAACGAGAAAATAGGAAAAATTGCATCGAGATTATTTAAGCTTCCAGAATATCAGCTAGCCTGCAACGAGTCGTGAAGTTTGATTTTGCGTAATTAGGTCTTGGCGAGAAGCTATGAGAAAGTCTACCAACTTTAACTCTTGAAACTTCAGAGAAACCAGTGACTGTCGGACTTCTTAGGATCGGTTCTGGCGCGCCATGACCTACTACACGGTGAGTGGAAGGGAATTTCAGGATAATTCCTGCGACTGTAATTGTTTAGAAGAGAGTTAAATAGACATAGTCAACATCGGCCGGCTACCTCGCGATCTAAGAGGCGTTGTTCAACAGATCGCGATTAGCTCAAATTCAGCCTGGGAGGTTCGGGATTATCTTGACTTTCCGGGAAACAACTGGCATAGCATTATCAACATCGCCTGTATCTGCGCAACGAGTCGGGATGACGAATTATCAGCGGCTAATGCCATCTTCTACGACCCCTCCGCTTCCCCTCTAGTATTTACGGAGCCAAGATGAAGACGAATCTTTACGGCACAGAGCTGAGTCACTCAATTTTCAAAGATATACTTTTAACAATCCTCACGGTACCAATAACAAAGCTTGGTATGGAAAACGGTGTTGTGCTACACGACGCTACAATGCTAGTCAGGGAAACCCTTGAGCACAACACAAGTTTCTAGTCGGCCACAAAATTGCAGCCCGAAGGCAGCAAAGTTCGGTCCCCTTTCGCCCTCCTTCCCGGCAGCGTTATGTTCGTCCGAAAGATCATCAAGACCCCCAAAATTCTATCTGGCGGATCCGAGAACCAATATGTTTCCACAGGTTCCCTGATTGTCCCTCTATCGTAGCCATACAATGTTTCAGCGAAGCTTTGTGAAGGTCAAGCTCTCCACCAAGACCAGCAAGGAATCTCATGACGACTTTCGGCCTGTCTTAAAGTTTAGTTTTCGGGTTGCGATAAGACAGTCGAGGAATAATCTGGTTGTATCATCATTTCACACACACCGATGGTGTATATCCAGACTCTATTACGAATAAATACATCACACGCCGGGGTTTCCGAGGAATTTTTCCGTGCAACCATAGGCTACCAGGTAGTTTTTGTTTGGTCAGCTGGAGAGCAACGGTGAAGAAGGATATAGTGCCCCACCAAATCCATGAATAAATAAAGATTTATACGGAACTATTGATGGACAGGGACTATCGGCAAGGCAAAGTAGGGTGCAAGCCACGCGTAGCGTAGATAATTTTGAGCTACGGGTATAGCGAAGCTGTAGATGTTGCATAATCTGGTGCCTAGTTGCGCAATGAAGTCCATATTATTGTTTCCAGCTGCTGAGTGGTTGAAAATATACCTAAGTCCGCAAGTGGCCAGCCCATAGTCAACGCAAACGAGCGCTTTCCATGAAACCAGGAACTCGCCCACTCCCAATGGGTTCCAAGACATTCAGTACCTTGTTGGAACGAGTGGAGGATAATTGTTTCTCCCTTGAGCCTGTGCCCACATGACTGAGCCATTTATTGTTCTTTAATTGCCGGTGTACGCTCTTTTTTCCCTCCCCTCTCACATAGCTCTCCTTCTACTGCTGGCCCAATTCTATCCTTCTGAACCCAGAGTGGTGGTCCCATTACATTACATTACCCTCACCCTGCATCCCATGTTTGTGGCCAACTCAAGAGGTCTGGTAAGCCCCGACACTTCCGTGGCAGAGCGTGTGTCTGGAGTGTTCGCGACGCTCGTGTTGGTCTGAGGGTGGGAAATCCGCACGGTACCACAACTGTGAGACACAGAATACCCGTTCATTCGGTGGAAGGTCGACGCAGCAAAGTTAATGGATATCCCGTCCGATCCTACGACATCCACCGTCTCGAGGTTGTCTGTCTCAGTTAATCCCAGTAAAATAGAATTACCTGGAGGATTCAACCCTCTAATCTGGATCACGTATAATTTACAGACGACCCATCCGTTCCACTGATAGGTTCCAGTGAATATCGTACTTCCATACGCTCGCTCGTATCCAATAGTATAAAGGCAACCAGCCACGGAATTTTTGCCTGGTGCTGAGGGCAGGGATGTACGTCTTAAAGGAACGCATAATTCCCCGCAAAAGTCTATTCATACCCCGAGCCGCGCCGGCCGAAATAGATGAACGAGGCAGCAGCAGCGCTAAACTGAGAGGCTACACGTTCGGAGTTGAAGAACACTATGCGCCAGGTATCCAGAAATTTCAAGAGGCCTAGCAACCTCCAAAGCTCTGAAGTTGGGGGCATTTTTATACTCGATACTTCACCAGCTTCTATTTCTGTGAACAAAGGAGATCCACGTCTCGGCTGTCATCTTGTCCAATGTCTCACTCACACTAGCAACCTAATAGCTGCGCCCTTCGAAAGCCTTCATTTGACCATACAGTGCGAGAATCCTTCGGCCCAATATTACCTACCTCTCCAAGGGAACGAAAGCCATTTACGAGTATGCGGCAGTATGGAATACTGAAAGGTCGCTGGATGCAGAGCTCTCATGATATTGACGCCAAGACCAAATCTAAAGATATGGTTAGTCTTTGAGAGGTCTACATTGACTATCCAGCCTGGTGCTACAGACCACTAAATACTAGCAGAAGGCACACTTTTTTTTATTGGATCTCACCCCTACATCTCAGGCGCGAGACAAAGCGAGAGCCGTATTTTATTTTTTATTTTTTTTACATCCTATTTGAGTCTATGACTATAAAATACGAGAGCCGTAATAAATTGTTGTTGGATAACGAAGGCCTCTAGGTGCGATTGTTACGCTTGTCATCACACTATCTCTCCATCATCTATTGGCAAAGATTGAGCACAACAACATACAAATTTACTATTAACTTTAGAGCTATTAAGATAGTTTTAGCTGTCCTTCATAGTCATAGACTCAGTAGGGACATAAATAAAGTTCTATTCTATTCACACTATCTCTCTCCCTGCTCACCATTGCGGGACCCCATGACTGGGCGTAGGGCTGTAGTCATTTCGACAGAAAAAAACAAGGGACAGCAACTCGTTTAGCCGTTGATGAACATGCATGGGTTGAATTTGGCCCTGTAGATCCTCCGGTGGAGCTAGGAGCCCGTCCCCTTGTTGAGTAGGATATGCGGCGGGTCACTTTTGTGGATTAGCAAAGATTGACAAAGTGCATGAACCTCAGACTCGCCTATCCCGGCCGGGTGAAGCTAATTGAGAAGTAGTGGGGGAGCGACTTGGGGCTGTGGAACACTGGAGACAAGAAGGAAGCCGCTAAGAGAGAGATCAAGCGTTGTAGGTCCAGGCATGGAGAATGCAGGATCTCCGAGCCCCGGTCGAGAGCCGATGAGGCCGATGGTGTGGAATCCAAGCTATGATATTGAGTTGTGCCCAGTCGGAGCATGACTAGGCTTCAGCTCTGCCACGGCGACGACCCCTAGATTAGCTGTCGGGAAGACGCACGTCGGACCTGTCTGACGCACAGCTGTGGACGCGGAGTTGGCGAGTCCATGTGCGTCTGCTGGACCAAAGCGCCTTCCACGCTGCTGTCAACAAGTTTGCCCGCGAAAGTGTAGGGGTCAGGACTCCTGCGACACGCAGAGTGCCATGCGGCTTGTCCAGCAGACGCACATGGACTCACCTCCTCCGCGTCCACAGCTGTTACCACTGCCCGTCTGACGGACATTGCGCCAATCAGTCAAGACACTCTCACGCGTGTCTCCACGGTAGCCCTTTCTCTCCTGTTACTTGTTGAACCCTATTTCACAAGGTATCCTTGTACTGAGCCCACACCAACAAGTGCCAATCCAAATCACGTGACATATTCGCCGTCAGATTTTTTTTTGGATTTTTTTTACTATAGTCCCCACTGAGTCTAAGACTATGGAGGACTTTGTGAATCTAACTAAAGATTCTAATTACATTTGAGAAATTTAATTTTGAAATATGCCAAAATAATCCGCCGTCTCATTTAATGTCTCAAGCATATCGTACCAGGATATTGTGTGTTTTGTGTATTTGTTTATTGTCCTATGAAGTCTATGACTATGCAAAGATATGTAGGTCCTTCCTGCCCACAGATCGTGAGCATCTATGCCTCCTTCACGACTTTTTTCCAGCAGTATTACCCCCACAGGTCTTCATTCGAGTACATACTAAGAGGAGCCGTTATCCCCTCATCATCTCCCCTCTCTTGTAAACTCGACGATGGCTATTTGCGGGCGCACCAGGGTGTTTAAACTTCATTAATTCGCATCTGGGTCTTGCAGGTATGGTCACCTGGAGCGGTGGTACATCGTCCGGCCCGGTTTATAGAGAAAAGCATGAAGAATTGAATCACTACTCAAGTGGTGCTACACAACCATAGCTTCCACCCCTGCTGAATCCGTTCATACTTGACTTGCCGCCGTACTCAAGATATCGCTGGAGGCACACTTGAACTGCCAAAGGCTTCGGTGCTTGCCTTGGATGACACATCCACGCCTGGGGAATTTCATTGCGGCGCGATTTGTGCCTGACAAGCGGAGCGAGAGTGTCCGATGTCAGATGAATCATACAAGGACCCCCGGGCCCTAAACATACGTCAAATCTAGCTGGTTAAACATTATTTGGGAAGCTAATAAATCCAAGGTAGGAACCAGCTAAAGGCGGACGGACAGTAGTTGTTTACTAGTTTGCTATGTTAGTCAAAGTGATAGGTAATTGGTACCTTCTGCACTCCTGAGAAGTGAGAATAGTAAAGGTCAACCACTACTTCCGAATTGAAATTTAACATATACAATATAGCTGAAATTTTCATGGCTGAAGATGAGAAGCTTTCTTGTAATTGTTGTTTTTTTGCAACGTATGACGCTATACCCGCGCATGATACATTACACTTTTACTCCACTTAGGGAATGGGGGGAAGGGATGACCTTTTTAGTGGTATTCATCAGGCACAGCTAGCTGGGTAGCAAATCATGTCGTAGTACTTCAATTACTAAATTTCATTTAACTGAAAAGACAAAATCTTCAAGGACAATCAAGATGTGTGTGGGGCAATTAATGTCCTCATTGGTCGATAGGTATGTGTAAAAGTATATTATCTCATATTCTAGTTAGTCTAGTCCCCAATACTGCCTAACGTGTTGTTGCCTAGACAGGCCGAGCTTAGCGAAGGAAAGCTAGAATCTTACCACCCAGCGCTCGAAGGTTTGGACTATACATGAATACAGTTCTCTATCTGGACGTCACAGAATGCAAGTGAAAGCGGTCAACAAAAGCTGTGTCAGCCCAGGACAATACAGCCTTATTTCTCACAGCAGAATGCAAGTCTATTTTGGCACCTCATAGTGGAATTTGCGAGTTAAATACAGAGAATGAGTGTCTCTAACGTCAAAAGCGTTCCCCAACATGTATGCGCAACACTGACCATAAATTATAGCTATAAAACTGAATACGTATAAAATGGTTCAAAAAAGTCAGTTTTGCCTTTTGGCTTGTCGAAGCAATATGTACCATACCAAGCTATCAGAGGTACAAACTTGTGTGGCTAGACTTACCGATGATAAAACAGAATGTAAATGCCATGTGGTATGGAACTATCCCCTGAATTTCACGAGATACGAATAGCTCTACTATCTCGTAGTATATTGACTCGAGTAACTACTATCGTGCTTGAATGGGTACTGGGGATACAAATTTGATGAATTTACCTTTCAGCTGAATTAAAATTTGATTGTTAACCCAGATTTGACGTATGTTTAGGGTCCGGGGGTCCTTGTATGATTCATCTGACGTCGGACACTCTCGCTCCGCTTGTCAGCCACAAATCGCGCCGCAATGAAATTCCCCAGGCGTGGATGTGTCATCCAAGGCAAGCACCGAAGCCTTTGGCAGTTCAAGTGTGCCTCCAGCGATATCTTGAGTACGGCGGCAAGTCAAGTATGAACGGATTCAGCAGGGGTGGAAGCTATGGTTGTGTAGCACCACTTGAGTAGTGATTCAATTCTTCATGCTTTTCTCTATAAACCGGGCCGGACGATGTACCACTGCACTAGCCGACCTAAGTTTAAGTGCATATTTCCGACATGGCTTTTCGTTACCCTGCTACCCGTAGCATGAAATGCAGCCGGGGTGGATGGCCACGATGCTACTCGTCACGCACCTTCACAATCGCTGCTCCAATTCTTTTTATTTGACGTGATGCTCTTACACAGGCAGTAAGTTGCGCTCCCTGTATCCATATTTAAATCTTCAATTTAAAACTTAGCCGTTTAGACTAACGAGGATAGTGTCATGTCATGTCACGGAATGTACGAAGCCTGAACTCCCGTAGCTGCGTCTGGGATGCACTCCATAGCCAATGTTATGGTGTCACACAGAAATCCGAATCCTGCAGAGAGCATATGACACTTCTCTGCTCAAGAAATGAAATTTTAGCCAGTGTTAAACCCCTACATTGACATGGAAGTGCGAAGGTCAATCCTTTGTTGAATATCGACGGAATAAGTAGATGTCATGATTATATCATTATACAGGCATGCCGCGGTTACTTTCGCTGATACTGTACAACGCAGGGCCTAGAGTTTTCAACCTCCACCTAACCATGAACATTTGGTCAAGGGAAAGACTCGAAAACCTTGAGTTGTCTCCACATGCCGTAATTTTTTCTACCTTCACTGTGAGAATCGTACTTATCTATACTTCAGATCTTGAGTGGAGCAAATATACCAGCTACTCAAGTTCTACTTGGTTGAGCCAGATCCGGATGGCGGATCATGAGACCACTTGCAAGTTAAGATAGTGTCACTCGCATGCTCACCACAATTCCTTGCGGCATACAGAAGTATTTAGAGCCGAAATTTCACCCCTATAGTCCATTTCTATCTTGATTGCTTCTATGCCTGGATTAATACTATTCTTCGTCGTCTTGCACCTGACCTAGATTCTAGTCACTCGTTACTCCAGATAAATGGGCTATGATTTGTGACTCATTATTGGCGCCTATGGCTTTGTGCGCACATTTGCAGGCCAATTTTGGTCGTAGTCGGATAGGTGAGGAGCGTGGTAATTAAGTGAGGATACAACAAGCTGGTACATCTTGCTTCGACAAGGTTTTCTATGAATCAGACCTTGTCGACAGCAATAATTTGGAGTGGCTGAAAGTTGGAGAGAAATGGCTCGCGAGTATCGAACATATCGCAAGATTTGCCTAAGTCTTGGCTTAGGGAGAGAGAATCATTCCTTAAGTCGACTAGAAAATCATCGGCCGAAGCCTAGCATCTGTCTCTCTGTGGAGTCTGAATACCCTTTGAGTGCGTTGGTAAGATATAGAGGGGTGCAAGGGGTACATATAATAAGGTACAAAATAAGATTACTAAGCATTCGTGACCAACGCAGATGGGAATTAACTGGTTCGAAACCCCTCAATATTCATAAATCTGACTATTCGAAGCAGCGATTCCGACACCAAAGATAGTAGAGAGCTACTCCTATCTCCAGAAAATCGTTCAAATGGTTGCCACCGAGACTTATCAACTTTTCCATCGCCCTATCGCTGATCATGCCTTCTCTGCAGACAGACAAACCTTAGCTGTAGCTAGAGATATAAATGTGGAGCTTTATGGAAGGCACGGGAAAGAGTTCAAGCTCAAAGAAGAACTTAAGGGACATGATAAAACCGTTACCAGCTTAGATATTGCTCCCAGTAGCGGAAGAATTGTAACCTGCTCCCAAGGTCAGTGACATGCGACTCTACGATTAGGCTTTTTGTTGACTTTATATAGACCGTAATGCATTGGTATGGGAGCCCTCTCCTACTGGATATAAGCAAACACTTGTTTTGCTTCGCATAAACCGTGCTGCCACTTTTGTACGATGGTCTCCATCTGAAACAAAGTTTGCTGTTGGATCTGGAGCTCGGGTTATTGCCGTCTGCTATTTCGAAGAAGAGAATGACTGGTGGGTCTCAAAACATATCAAAAAACCGATCCGAAGCACTATCAACACACTGGCATGGCATCCAAACTCGGTGCTCTTAGCATCAGGCTCTACCGACGCGCATGCACGGGTCATTTCAAGCTTCGTCAAGGGCATCGATAAACGACCCGAGCCCGGGGTTTGGGGAGAGAGATTGCCATTTAATACCATTTGTGGAGAGTATATGAACAACTCAGCAGGCTGGGTTCGTGCGGTTGCATTTTCTCCTAGTGGAGATGCCCTCGCATTTGCCGCTCATGATAGTAGCATCACTATAGTCTACCCAAATGGTGCAGATCAGCCTCCCAAAGCAATTCTGAATATTGGAACTCAGCTACTACCGTTTATCAGCCTAATTTGGAACGGAGAAAATGAAATCATCGCTGCAGGATTTGATTGTGAAGCCTACCGCTTTTGCGGTGATGCTAGCAATTGGCAACTGCTTGGGTCACTGGAATCCAAAGGTGAAGAAGACCCTGGATTAGCAAAAGAAGAGACAGCTTTCAACATGTTCAAACAAATGGACTTGAAAGGACGAGCGAAGAACGACACCCAATTAAACACTGTTCATCAAAATACAATCAATACCTTACGTGCCTATGAAGAAATTGATGGAAGAATCAAAAAATTTAGTAGTAAGTTTTTATTCATGATTATTTCCAAAATATACTAATTTTTAAGCTTCTGGAGTTGACGGAAGGGTTGTGATCTGGAGTCTATAGAAAGATTTTAATAGACCATAAGTTCTGATCCTTTGTGTATGTTGAACCGAACTTAGTCTACTATCCATTTGTTGCTAATTTATCTCCACCTAGCCTCATGAAATGAACGCATTAAATTCCTTTATTTCGTATATAATGACAATGATGATTTCTTCTTCAACCTAAGCTGTGAATGTCACTCACAGCTCAAACCTTCTACTAGTCTGCATTTTGAGAAATTTCCTCGCAACGTTCGATGAACACTTGGTAGTTTTCATGTCAAATTTACCTATGATAGTTTATCATCTACAAGAATTTTTCCGCAACTTTTTCGCCGTCCGGTGAAGGTCATGTTAAACTTACGATCAAAACTTAATATTTTGTAATTCAAAGGAGCGAAAAAGCAGTACGAACTAAATACCACCAGAAATATTTTCTTTAAAATCCCTCATGGATAAAAAGCTGCGCAATACTTTATGACTTGTAAATCACACACAAGCGCACCTTGAATCCTAAAATTCATTTTGAGCAGCTAGCCACGTCACGTGATAGGTGCTTTTTTGCATCAAATGGGTGCTATGTATATATGGTGGCAGGAAATGCTGCTTAGTCAGCTAGTTGGTCAAGTGAAAGGTGTCCACATCCTTAGTACATAAGACATCTGTATCACTCTGCACTCCTTGTACCATATCAATAAATTCCCCATATATCGCATATTACCATCTGTATTATCTTACTCTCGTGGTGACTACACTTTCTCAATATCCCAACACATGGTATATAACTTTCTTGATTTCAATCACCAACATCCTGGATTTAACTCGCACAACATTATACAGCGTTTTTGTTTGTGCAGGACAGCAGGCCAACGTCTATAAATACGAAATAGGGCGAAGTATTAACTGTTTTGATTACGGAAGCAAGCCATCGTTTTCCATACACATCAGCGCCTCAAAAAATGTTGTGTAGTACTACCGGATTCGAACCAGTGTTCTTCTATCTCGAGTGAGATGTGTCCAAGCTACCTAGACTCTAATTGGGAGACCAGCCCAGGTGATCTACCACCAAACCATCCAATCATGGCGGTGCTTACAGTGTCGCCTGTACTCTCACAAATGGAGTTGAACATCGTAGAGTTTCCTTCAAACTGTAACACACCATCCTATCACAAAAAGAAAGATAGGTAGATCGACAAAGCAAGAAATGGTTTATAAGATTGTCTACAAGAGGAACTCCAGATGATTGATTGAATATTATTCTAACATGCCAGGCACAAGAACTGGATACTATTTGACATGACATGGGTAGTTGGTAGCGAAAGACTCAATCCTGCCAAGATGAATAAATCAAAAGAGCCAGGAAAAAATACGACTTCTAGGTTTGATGCCCTGTGCCTCGCTTTAATCCCCCGATGTCGTCCACCCAAGGACCAATATCTACAGCAACACCTTGACTTGCGCCAACCACTATCGTACTGACCAGAATCATTTCCTCACCCTTCAATCCGCCTAAGCAAGCGTGGTGTGTCCTATTTGTAAAGTGCCAGTAGTACTTTCTGAAATTGTAGTCTTGGCGCCCACAAGCATTTCAAAGTCGATATCCCGTGAAAAATATAATTTGCATCATGCCCTTTAGTGACCTTTTCACTCACTCATTCTACGTCCCAGCTGCCCTTCCTTTCTTAAATTGTGAAGTTCAATTAGAGCAAAGATCCCCCATAGGCAAAGACACGGGCTTTGTATTTTGCGACTTGGATTCTTCCTTTCGGCTCTATGTAGCATCACAAATCTGTTGTGGGGCATAGCCTGTGATTACTGAGACAGGCTCCCGTTTGCAATGGTAACAACTCCTTCAGCGATCATTTAGGTGAGGTAGTCTGTATTATGATGAAATTTGAGAAATAGCGTGAGAACGACAGGTTAGACATCGATGAAAAGTCGTCGAAAATACATATGCTTGTATCTGCTTGTAAAGGGTTTAAAGAATTCAGAAGTACTTGAAAGACGTTAACTCAATAGGAATTGATAATTTTTCCTTGGGAAGCTAATCTGCCTGCGACGGCTCCTGTCCTTTATGTCCTCCTCAGCGTCGCGTTTAAGCTCCCCTCCTAGCCTACCTGAGAATACTCCATTCTCCCCGGCTACCCTCTTTCCTGTGACATCCTCCCCCCCTTAGTACATACTCCCTTGGGTCCTTCCTCATGCGCAACCTTGCAATTATCCTTATGCAACACTGAGACTCGTTCTTGTGCGCAACCTTGCATTAATCCTTATGCGGCATTTAGGCCTTTCCTTATGCGCAACCTTGCAATTATCCTTATGCAACACTGAGACTCGTTCTTGTGCGCAACCTTGCATTAATCCTTATGCGACACTTAGATCCCTCTTTGTACGTATCCTTGCATTCTTCCCCATGCAACCTTTCGCGTCTCTGTAAGCGCTGCTTCCTTGGCGCTTAAAGATCTAGCCGGGTTGGTCCTAGTGACCAGTCCCAATCCGGGCACAGCCCGTAACACTGCTTTCGAATTCGATTGGGATGTGATTCTTCTTAGCTATCCCAAACATGTACAGCATAATGAGTGAATACACTGGCACCGCTAGAGGGTGGAGGATCCGGCTTCGCCAGCGGAACTCATAATTGGTAGATAGGATCGTTATTTATTTTAAAAACATTATTTGTGCCAGAAAGCCGGGCAGCGCTCTAGGCTGCCTTATCATCAATTTGACTTCGTACATACCATTTTTACGCCTATTCTATTTCCAAACCTTCCATGCGACATCATGGCGGGTGTGAGAGCTGGTGCGGGTAAGTCCAGCGGTTTCGACGCGTTGTGAACAAGGACAACCGTTCTTACTGAATACAATATGAATAAAAAAATGAGTAGCGATAACAACGACTAACTCGGTTGAAGACGGCGGAAAGTAGACAAATCCAAAAGGATAAAAAGCTAAAAATCTTGGGGAACTTATTAAAAAAGGTTAGTATTAAGGGAATAATGACACATTCATTGAGGTTGTAGAGCGCATTGATTCAAGTAGCTACCGAAGTGAAACCAAGTACAGAATATGTAGTCACGTGTGTATTGACAACGTTGAGGTTTCTTGTGCACGTTAGTAGGAATAAAGTGATAAATGTTGGCTGTGAAATTCACGGATGTCTCGTGGCTCCGACTACGACAGTCTATATGTGTGTAGAGCTTGAGACTGGGTGTAAACTTGTATTTCTATTAACGTTCTAACTCCTCCTTAAATACATGAATTCCTCTATACATCAGATAATGTAATGATCAATGATACATGACAAGTAAACTATCAGAATACAGTAGGAGAGGAGTGAGGTGCTTAGCCGCGCGGGTTGTGAGCAGAGAATGCGACAGGTGCATTTTTGATGGAACCTTAAACTCGGCGGCTCGCTTGCCGCGAGACTTAGCGTTTCGCTAGGACTTGGAATTCAGGATCCTCAACGTGGCCTACTTGTTAGCCCCATCTATTCTGGATTCTAACAGTTAGATTACAATGATGGGTGAAGTAGAGGAGGAGGATGGGGAATTTCCTTCCACAAAGCAGGTCAACGAAACCATCAAGGCCTTCAATTTTCACAAGAGGGCCTGGACTGCGATGTCAAAGAATAAGTCTCCAGTCGAGGGGAAGATAATGGCATTGGAGGAGGTCGTCAAGAAGAGTCTCACGGATACCGCTAAAAAGGCTGTTCCAGGAGTGGCTTTGGGGATGCCGCCACTAAAGACCTACGCGTCGATCGTAGCTCCGTAAATGATGAAAACGGCAGTGAGCATAAGAGTCGCCGTAGCAAAAAAGCTGCAGCCGGGGGAGCTGATTTTAAGGACAAAACAATATATCGAAGAAGCATTTGCAATTCGCCAAATGCGCAGCAACGACACTGAGGTGTTCGTCCAGTCATCGCCCCAGAGAGATGCAGCAATCAACATGGCGCAACCCGCAGGATTCGATATCTTGCAGCACGACTTCCCTCTCGAGATTTTCGGAGTCTGAATATGGTCAAAAATTGAATAAGGAAGAGATGCCAACAACACTGGCATCATCATGGATATTGTGACGGCAACTGGAACCCGTATTCCTGGTCTTGTGATTAATCGAATTAGATGGCTACATTTCGGAAATAAGTCTTGCAGTCGAATAAAAGCAGCCGCACTAGAGGATTGATCGTGGCCAGCCTCCCGTTGGGAGCAATGCAAAGAGAAGTTGTTCAACATGGCATTGTTATAAATGCCATGTCTTACATCGCGTAGAAATGGTCACTACGCGCCAAGCCAAGGCAGTGCTTAATCTGCAGTCAGTGGGGTCACACGCAGGTGACGCATACAAAGACAGTCAGGTGTGGTGAGTGCACTGGTGCTCATTGTGACGCTCTGTGTGAGCTCCCAAGTTTACAATATATAGTAAGATCGTTGTATCATAATCTTAGAGCGACGGCTACTGTAGATTTTCTTTGGGGCGAATCAACAAATAAATTAGAATAAGTTTACATATACCAACTACCTCTGTTCCAGGAATCCTCTCTCAATAAACTCTACACGCGGAAAGTTTCCACGTCAGCTCTGACTACCTTCCTTTCTATGACTAATTCATGACTAATCCGAAGCTCCTTCCTGATTAGTTTCAGGGTCAAGCTTACCACAAGCATATTGGGGTAATGTATGCGAGAGTACTCCTACAAAGATAGCTGCAAGATTCAAATTTCAAATTTTGTGCCTTTTTAGGCCAGTCGGCACTGTGGTATAGCTATCTAACTACAGGTACACGTCTTATGCATGAAGAATGTGGCACATCCACCCTTCGTATAGTCCGTGCGTCACCCTCATCAAACTCGAGACTGTCAAAGAAGAGCCGTTGGTGATGGAAGGCAGTGTGTGAGACTCCCCAAGTATACAAGGAAATAGGGTTGGATGGTGCAGTGGTACACCATCCGAGCCGTTCTCCCAAGTAGATACTGGGAAGCTTGAACACCTACCCCATTCGAGACAGGAGAAAGCTGGTTTGAAT